TCTGATTTCCCTTTTAGTTTTTCGGGGCCGATATGGGTGTGGGGAGGCTTAAAATCGAATTTCGAAATGAAAAGAAAAGAAAATCGCCTCTCCGGTGTTGTCAATGACTCCGGTGCAGCAGCGATGGTGGTTGACTTTTCTTCTGGCTGCCCTTCTTCTTCTTCTCCGACGGGGTCAGGTGTGGCTAAGGTTAGGATTTCTAGGAAGAGGGGTTTAAATACTCATCTTTATTAAATCCAGACTGTCTGTTCGAGAAGATGTGACTCATTCTCAGCCATTGGATCAACCCTATATGGGGAATAAATATGGACTGCACAATCGGATGTAATTAGGACCGTTCGATCGTGCTTGAAGAAAAAATAGATCTAGACCGTCCGTGTGCATGGGAGTAGATCTAGGCCGTCAGATCCGTTGCCACGCGGATCGCCCACGTGGCTTCCCACGTGGATGCGTGTTCGCGTGTCTGCCACGTAGCGCACGATGATTGGTTGCGCTGCTAATGTGGTGGTCTTACGTGACCTATTTTTTATTATTTGCACTTTTACCCCAATTTTCTAATTTTCTTTTTAAATAGGTACTTTCTTATTTTCAGTTTGGCCCTAACTTTTAAAAATTATTTTTAAATACACCAAAAATATAATTTTTTTTCAAAATTTTAATTAAAAATTAAAAATTAATTTTTTTAAATTTCTTTAAATTATTTATTATTATAATTTAATTATCTTAAACTTAAATTTCAGGTCCGGGTATTACAAAAATATATAGAGAGAGAAGAGATAGTAGAGAAAAGAGAGATAGAGATCGAGATAGAAAAATGATAAATTTATTTGAGATTTATTTTCAAAATATTACTTATATTGATTGATTTATAACTAATACTTATAGATATGAAAAGATATATGATACCCCTTATAAATTATTACAATAGTTTAGATATGTGAGAATTCTTAACAACGACTACATTGTTCAAAATTTTATAGGATCTCAACAATATATTTCATATATTTAATTTTGAATTAAAAATATTTTAATTTTATTTTTGATTTTTTGAAATATGCTAAAAAAGATTTTTCACAAAACTACGTTAAGTTAAATATGAGAAGTTAATCACCTGAATTTGTGTTGTTATAACTAATTCATGTACTTATCCTGTATAAACTTAAATGTTATTCACTACAATATGTACATATGAACATAGTATATAGTAGTAATTACAAATTTGAATATTAGTTTTGTAACAGCCCCGAAAATATCCAAAGAAAATAAATGATAATTAAAGTGCGGAAGCGTAATAAATGTTCAAGATTTATATTCCTTACACAATAACTTAAAGTACCAAATAGTATTATGGAATTCACAATTTTGAAAGAAATACAAGAAATAAGGAAATGAAATAAAAATAAAGAAAAATAGCATCTACTCGCAATCTTCTTGCGGATCGGGCTCTGGAATCTGGTCATCTTGGTCTGAAATAGTTAAATAAGGGATGAGCTACACTAGCCCAGTAAGGATGTCACACTATATTACCGACATAGAAGTAAATGTTAGTAGAAAATCAAAAACCACTAATGGAGCACTAAATTTAGCAAATTTATTTATCAATCATAAAACTATTTACCGTCCACTTACTGTAATGGGATTTATAAAAACAACATATACAGACAACAATATTATACATATCATAATTTTATATATAATCAGCAACATAACACATATTATAAATTTATACCCATTATCAATAAATCAACAATAACTGTGACTCTTTTTACCAATCTGCTGGTATCCATAGAGGTTTATAGGCATGTTCCCGCTACGCGTGAACATTTTTCTTTAACATTCTCAATCACGAGCAGTCCCCATACCTCGTCCAGTATGAGCGCCAAATTACTAAACCTCAATACCTGTCCGGTATGAGGGTGAAGTAGACCGTCCTCATACCCTGTTCGATATGAACGCTAAATTATCAAGTCTTCATACCCCGTCCGGTATGAGACAACGTTCACGGTAGGGTTTCCTATGTACTCGGTCCGTCCACCATCTCCCAAGATATCCAGTAAGCTTGCCGTTTCATCTATTCACTTAATCGCACAATTTTTATCGTTGAACCTTTATTTTTTTCGATTCAGTAGTAAACACATAGAATAAACCATACATGCATTCAAAGCCATAAAATCAATTAATAAAGTACTTTATGCATTTAAAATGTAAAAACAATCAACAAAACAACAGTAGATAATTTTTGGTTCTGCCTCTATTAGTAATCCGTAATTACTTATGCACATTTTCTAAATTCACACAAAATAACATATTATTATTTATTTAGACTTCAATTCTATGATAGGGAATAGGGTGAGGGATCCTTATTCAGTTTGATGTCTGAAAAGCTACACTATTTGACTGCACCTACGGACGGTTTCCAGGTTCCCTAAATTTTTTTTTCTGGAATTAAAATGCGCTAATAGTATCTACAAATGTCCCAAACAAATCCAAAATCAGTCACAGGGCCCACTTGGCCAATTTCAAAATTCCAGCACGGTGGCTTCGCTGTGCTCCGACGGTGGCGCCGTCGCCTACAGTGGTGGTCTGCCTCAGGTTGGCTATTTTCGACCATTTTCGGTCGATTTTACATTAGTCCCTACAAGAAAACATACTAAGGGGCCTCGGTTGGTCGAAAAAATAAAAAAATCTCGAAACTTACCGGTGGCAGGGCGCTCCGGTACGGCGGCTCCTCCGGCTCACATTGCAGTTGGGTGTTTTACTCCGGTCAACCTGTAGAGAAGGATACAATGATCACAACGGTGAAATTTTTTTACAGAACTGGAATCAAGAAGGGTCTCATCGGAGGTGTTTTGTGAAATTTTTCGTGGCGGCACTGCCGAGTTTTGCCTATATTTTTCAGCCAATTAGCTGGTCCTTTTGCTCATATTTGGCCATGGATGTGTTTAAAATTGAATTCTGAGTAAAGAATTTTTTTTTTACTTCTTTTGGTGGTCGGAAACGGCTCCAGCGCGACGGCGGGTGGCGACGATCTTATTCCCAGCGGTTGGGTCTTCTTCTCCGGCAAGGGGTCTGGCGACTAGGGTTATGGTTTGGTGCGAATGAGAGTTATTTATATTCGTCTGCATTTAATCTGGACCGTCCATCGCGTTTGATCTGAACCATCCGATCGTGATTAAATAGGGAGTGAATCTAGGCTGTTCATCGCAATTCAATCTGGACCGTCCATCGCGATCCAATCTGAGCCATTCGATTGCATTTGAATCTGGCCATCCGATCATGTTTGGGAAGGGAATGCTTCTGGGTCGTTCGTGCGCGCGGGACCGGATATGAGCGTTTGATCGCGAGCATGCGGATCGCCCGCGTGGCCTCCCACGCGTCAGCGCCCATTGCCAGACAGCGCGTCCTGGTTCATCGGGACTGCTGACTAGGCATCCTACGTAGCAATTTTTTTTTAAATTGCATTTTAACTCCCGGTTTCTGATTTTTCTTTCAAAAATACCATCAGAATCCAAAATTTTACCCATTTTCTCCAAAATTATTTTTAATTTCATCATTCATCAATCTTACTCCATTTTACTCTAAATTAAAATTAAAAAATTAAGGAATTATATTTATAAATAAACCTTAAATTACATAAAAATTAATTTAGGGTATTACAAGTTTTTCTTTAAAAATAAATAAGAAAACTTATAAATTAAATTATTATTTAAGTAGAAGAATTTGTCTTAATTAAACATCTTATAATTAAAAAATATTATAGACAATGTAAAATATATTAATGACCATGAATTTAATTACATGGTATTCCATATAAAATATGATTAGTTTAGAACTTCATTTTAATTATTACTGAATATTTTCTCACTATATATAATACACAATATATAGTACTAACCATAAATTTAAATACAGTTATTTTGTATAATTAAATTATTATTAATTTCTATATTTTGTTTTACTGAATATTTATCATTAAATATATATATACATATATAATACACAATATATTTATATTAATGATCATAAATTCAACTAAATATATCACATATAATTAAATTGTTGAATTTAACTTTTATTATTATTACACATTTTATAATTAACTATACTTATACAATATATTTATTAAATATATTATATACAATATATCTATCATATTAAACTGAAATTACTTAAATTAAATTTATACAAAAACGCCATACTAATTGTTAACAGGTTAACCATGATCATATTATACACAATTAATTGGATACAAGTCGTGGTAGATCAGCAAAAGATCCAACTACTTATAGCGTACTATTAGTATGACACAATTACTAGTAAAGTTTGTTAATTAAATAGTTTGTTAACTTTAAAAAGCACAATTTTCAAAGATAAAATATATACATTAAAATCATACAATTATATATTGGTAACAATGATCATACTCAGCCTTGCATACACGTATAAGAGATAAGATATATAGTAATATAAACATAAATAAGATAGACTATTTTATACATAATACAAATTTTTTTAACTGATAATATAATACTTTAATGATTATGAGTTTTGTGCTTTTATTTGAATATCATAAATTTAAATTTAATTAAAAAATTAAATTTTATTATTTTATAAAATGTATTATAAATAATAAGTGATTAATTTATAATATTTATTTTAATATGATCAATCTTTTAGTAAGATCAACCCTCAACATAATTTTTTAATACTGATTAATTTTATCTATTTTAATAAGATCGATTATGAACTTAATTATAATAAAATAATAAAATTTGACACCTATATAACACTTACGGGAAAACTAGTATATATAAGTGCATTGGCTTAATAAGAAATAAAAATTATAAAATAAAGCATTTAATATTAGAATTGAATGAAGATAAAATTATAAAAATATAATATAAAAAAATATTAATGTAAAAATTTAAAATAAAAATTCCTAATGACTTACATTAATTAACAATAAAATAAAAAAAAATTCAAAAAAAAATTCAGAGGGCTTAAAAAGTCCAGTCTGTATCAAAAGCAGAGAGTTGGGCACGGGTATAGGCACTTGAAACATACTCCATATAACCATCTGCAGCAGACATTTGCTCCCTAAGATACGTAATCTCTTCATTCAATTCGCTCACCACCTTATTCAAATCTCGGATTACTGAATCCTTCGCGGAAATTATCTTACCAAGTTTACGGTTCTCTTCTTCCAACTGGCTGTAATTCTCCTGAAGTTTATTGGAACAAGCCGTGTGGTTCTCTGATATTGCCTTTGCTGCATCTCTCTGCCACGACAATATGTTCCTCTCCTCTTCCAACTTTGTACACCGCTCTTCGTATCTTTCCCTGACTCGATGTTGGAACTCAGCCTGTGCAATGGCCCCAGAGAGCTTTAAGGATAACTCATCTCTTTCTTGCTTGTACTCCTCCAATGACTCAGTTGCAGACTCGAGCTTTGCAAACAGATTCTCTTTCTCTTTGAAATAGGTAACCATTTCTAGTAACAGTGTGCTGGCTTCTATCAATCTGGGAAAGACAACACTCGTCTGTCTATAATGATTCTCAAGGCATTGGATGGTTGCATCGAGTTTTGAGTTGAGAGAAAACACGTTCTCCCTCTCAATGGTGGAGTTGGCATCTTCATCAGCTTCTTCTTCAGGATACAGAGGCGGAATTTGACAGGAAGTTGCGATTTTATCAGTAATAGAGAAATGGGTTCCCTCTGCTTGGAGCAAATCTGCTTCAGTAGGCATATGCAGCCACCATGTAGGGCGAACTAGTTCATTGCTTGATTCTGCCCAACTGTTACTTCCATCATCGTGATCAGCATCATGATCATCACCATCATGGTCTTGATCATGATCATCGCCCTCTGCTTGGAGCAAATCTGCTTCAGTAGGCATATGCCGCCACCATGTAGGGGGAACTAGTTCATTGCTTGATTCTGCCCAACTGTTACTTCCATCATCGTGATCAGCATCATGATCATCGTCATCACTGTTTTCCGTGCTCACCGTGTTGAAGCAATCACAGAGGCAGACTTGTGAAAGAGGGTCTCGATCAAAATTGAATTCGTTTTCAAAATCTTCATAATCATAATCTTCCGAATAATAATACCGATTCTCATAATAACACTCTCTATCACTCCACTCATTCTTCTTGTCTTCCAAATTTTGACAGGCTGATTCACAGGACTTCTCAGAAATAGTTTCTGTCAACTCATCATCACCGCAGACAGTGCTTTGATCCGTCGCTTCTTGGTTTTCGAGCTCTGAATCAGTTTCATTAATCTCAAAATTCAATCCTTTTATTTGGATAGTTTTTTCCTATACATATATGCAACCGAAACAATTAATTAGTGCTTGGTTCATACTGTCATACTGAGAGAGAGAGAGAGAGAGAGAGAGAGAGAGAGAGAGAGAGAGAGAGAGAGAGAGAGAGAGAAAATGATATGACGTTGGAGTATCTTTTTCCATTCTATAAATCTCCCTGCAGCCCGCTCATGCTTTGGGATAAACAGTTTATAAAGGTCAAAATAGTTTTCTTCCAATCTAAGGTCGAGATTAATTACTCCGCAAATTACAAAATCACCAAACATGGAAATGATGCAGTAAATTATGAATTACTTTATTGTTTCATATACATACACGCAACTGAATTAATTTAGAAAAAAGAAGTAATGTATAACCAAAACTTAAAAGACAAAAATTTTACAATATCTACTATTCAGTTTCAGAAAATTTTCCCTGGGAATGGCTTTAGTCTTCTTAGCAGTGGAACTAAAAGATTCAAAGATCAGAATATCTAATAGCCGCTATGTAGCTTTGGACTTAAAAAACTAAACTATAATTTCAAGAAGAACCCACCAAAATAAATGAAAAGATGCATTGTATATATATATTTCTCTATCTATATATTATCTCTACATTCTCTGTATATGTAAAAATAAAAGTAACAGTGATGGTTACTCACTCTAGAGTGTTGAGTTTCTGAAGTAACGTCGTCCAAGGTTGCCATAAACATGTACATCAAATTTGTGGTCAAGAACAGTAATATTGCCAGAGACCGTAGCACAGGATATCCCACCCAAGACACAGCTGCAAACAGCATTGCCACTCTTTCTTCAACAAACCACAGTAAATCACGATCCTTCACCATTCAAAACAAATCAAAAGAGAAATAAATAACACGTAAAATTATTCTAAACGAATATAGAGAATTAGAAGTATGATCACTTACAGTGAGATGATTAGGGTTGATTGTTCGTCTTTCAACGAAGTTTAAGAAATAAGTTAAATTACAAAGCAGCAAGGCTAGGAACGGGAAAACGACTTCAAATCCAGACGAGAAGAAGATCCATAAAATAGCCGGTCTCTCTAACCAAAATAAGGCAGTGTCTGCGTCGCTGATGTCTGCTAATTTCTTCGCATTTGTGTTTCTGGCCATTGTCGAAAAACTTAAAGCAGGGAACAATGAAATAAAATCACAATGAACTGGAGGATTTGTGTACTATATGTTTCTGACGATTGTATTACTTACATATATATAATACAGGAGGAGGAAACCGACTTCTGTTAGGATCGTGAAAATTTACTTCTTATCTGAACCGAAATCGCACCAGTGCAGGTACTTTCATAAATTATCCGAATTCTACTCGGTTTATGATTCATTAGCTGAAAGAAAAAAAGACTCACTTGATTCAAATTCTTATTATCGGGGCAACCACAATCGACTAATTTGTCTGCTTCTCCTTCTCTCCAATAGAATCGACGAAAGGATAGTTTGTCCAGAACCCTGGTCATGGTGGCTGCAGTCGAGAGCGCGGAGGGAGAGACGAGAGAGCAAGTAAAATGAGAAACTAGTGCACTGCAACTACTAAATAAATATGTTTTCACAGTATTTGAATTTGAAAAAATATTTATATAATTAAATAAGTAAAGGTTCTAAGTTTGTCCGCATATTTATTTATTTATTAATAGATTAAATATATTTTATAAATTTTAAAAATGCGTATTTTATTAATTATATATTAAATATATATTTAAAGTTTAAAAATATATTTTATTAATAAATTAAATATATATATATATATATTTTACAAGCAGCAATTTGAACTGTGTAATTATTTTTAATAAAAGGAATACATCATTAGTGTACTGCCTTTTTAATCAGGACAAACGCCATGACTCCGAAATCACCACTTTCTCGTCAGCACGTGATTGGGTCGCCACTCCTTTCTCTAGCGAGCAGGAACACATACACAGAGGGAGGGAGGGAGCGAGCCAGCGAGAGAGAGAGAGATCGAGATGGAGAATCTGCTATGGAGGATATTACCTCTGCTGACTCTGATCGCGTCCTTTCTCGTTTTCTTCTTATCTCGGGATTCTCTCAAGGTCTGATTAGCGACTGCATCTATGCATATATATATGTATATGCGTTACATATATGTTTATTATTCTAAATATTAGATTGAAGTTGATGATTTCGGCATCTGTATATAGATTATGTCGATGATTATTTCTGTGCACAGATGGAGCACAAATGATGAAGGAAGCGAAAGTTTGTTTCATGTTAACTACTAGTGAAGTTGAGTGAGTTGAATATGTAAAATTTGATCTCTCGTCAATGCAATCAAAGAGCGATTGAGCGTTGTTTTATTTTTATCAATATTTTTGATTCGATTGTTGATGAAGTCATTGCATAATCTGTTAGTCGTGTTTGTTGAACCGATTGGTTTTTTAGCGATGATATGTTAAATTAATAATTCAGTGGTTGATTTTGGTGTCAACTCGAATGCATCTTTTTTGTCTTTGTTTTTGGTCATGGAAATTCACAGGATAAAAACTATAGCGAATCACTCAATTACGTAAATGGCATATAGGTCCTGTGGCTTGCTTGGAGATAAGCTGAATCTTACCTTATCGGCAAAACTAGCTTGTGCCTACAAAATTCTGGGAGTCAAAATCATTTATAGCTAAATTGTTTAGGATTTCTTCTGTCCTGGACGTATTCATCCACAAACTGTACAATTGATGTTTGAATATAGTGGTTGCTTGATTAAGCTTGTAATTTAATTTGTAGCCGTCCCATGGCGAATGCAGCCTTTTTCCTTACAACCATTACTTGATAACCAGCAAGCGGATTGTGACACCACAGGGGTTCATTTCTGGTGCAGGTATGTCTTATAGTTATTTTTGGATTCTAGTCTTGGTAGAAGAGGAAAATTCTTTTTATTTTCTAATTATTTTATAATTATCACTTTGTACTTTTTTGGGGTCCTTTTTGGTTATTGTAGCTTGTGGAATTGTAGTACTTTGTTATGTTTGCAACAGTTGTTTGAAGTAGTAATTGTGGACATGCACTGGGTTGAAGGATTATAAGTATAGGAAGAAACTTTTCAAGTTTCTTCTGCCTACCATTGTAAGGAAGTAAAGAAATAGGAGAGTTTCTTACAATGTTTGCTCTCCTCTTGATAGAATTAGAATTCATTGGTCCCACACCTTTTTGTTGAAAGGACATCCACTCAGTCAAACTTGGAAACCTTGTCGATGTTTTATATTTTCATGACTTGTAAAGTCTTTTCTGGATGGTTACTCTTTTGGTGTCTATCAATGGTTTTTTTCTCTTTTTCACTCAAGAAAATTGTTCAAAGTAGTAAATTTAACTAATAATCAGTGGTAGGTTCAGCATCAAATTTTGATTTCACAGCATGGAGTAGATTTGGTGGACATTGCGCTTTGGCAGAGAATAAATACAGATATAGCAGATTTTGCATGCATATGATATCCTTCATCACCATTGTTTATGCTACGCCATTTGCTAAATGTTTATCTAGGCCAAGGTTTGTGCTGGATAGTTCCTGATCCTTACATCTCATTTTCAAATATCTAAATAACAGTTGAGGTCAGAGAAGGGAATATCATATCAATATTTAAGGAAGAGAATTGGGACGGGAAATCAAATGGGAGACAAGTCATTGACTTTGGGGAAGCTGTTGTGATGCCTGGTTTGATTGATGTGTAAGATATGAGAGCCTTATCATTTGCCATCATTTCATTATAAAGTTATTTGAAAAGGTTTAACATGACAATAAGAACTTCTCAGTTGCATGTGGATATGCTGCACTGAGAGTACTTCTTCTAAAGTGCTTTCATTATATCCCTGCAGGCACGCTCATCTTGATGATCCAGGAAGATCTGAATGGGAAGGGTTTCCTTCAGGAACAAGAGCAGCTGCTGCAGGTATTCACTTTCCTTCATAATTACTTCTTTGACAAGGATGTTTTCATCAGTAACAAGTTTCCTTTGGTTGAGCAAGACATAACGTGAAATTCTATTGTCTTGTCTGCTTCTTGAAAACCTTCGAACAAGATATAAAATAGTGTTATTTTTCTTATGTAGAATAGTCATTGGCAATAGAGTTAGATTTTAACTTTTCCTTGTCTTTATGGTCAGTTCTTCTCTTGAACCCTGAGTTTTTTTTTTTGCTTTGGGAATCTTATTATCATATTAATTTTATTTGTTCTCTCTATTAGCAAATGCAAGCATTTGACCTTCCTGTATGTCAACAGGTGGCATCACAACATTAATTGATATGCCTCTGAACAGTTTTCCTTCAACTGTTTCTTCAGAAACTTTAAAGCTCAAGGTAAGAAAGAGGAGGAGTTGGTTAACTTCTTTATAGTCCTGGTAACTTGTCATATGTGATCCAGAACTTTTATTTTTCCTTTTCTGTGGGGTTTTTTTTTTTTTACAGATAATGGTTTACCTGTTTGATGCATTTGACAATTTCTGTTATAGGTTGACGCTGCAAGAGAGAGAATATATGTTGATGTCGGTATGCTTTTTATACCATTCCTTGTCATATCCTTGATTAAAAGAATTGATCATCTTAACTGCAATTTACCAGGTTTTTGGGGTGGTCTTGTTCCTGAAAATGCATTTAATGCAAGTGCTCTGGAAGAGCTCCTAGAAAGTGGTGTTCTTGGTTTGAAGGTAATTGTCTGAGAACAATTTCAACGGTTAGTTGTATGCTATCTGGTTCGATGGTGTATCCATGCTTCTGAAAGCACTACTTTAGTTGGGCTTGATGCATTTTATTTGGATAATTTTGCTCTCAGTAGCTTTCTGTAATAATTGCAACTGCATCTATATTTGTTTTGTTGTAAATCAAAGTTCACTGAGCAACGTATTATATATGGACCTGTGCATTGGTTTCAGAGTGAAGAGCCAGTTGGTTTATATGCATACTGAACCTTTGAGTATAAAATTTTCTGATTACTCAACTGATCCCCAAGCTCTTCGTCTTGACCTCAGTAGCAGCTATTTTAGAACCTAAAGTTCCAAGGAATAATACCTTATTATCAATTAAACATTCTGAAGAAACCCATTAATAACTTCTAGAAAACTGGAAACAGTTTTAAGTGATTTTCTCAATCCTGGTAATCAGCTGAACTGGCTGATATTATTGTATCTCATTGTGTATGTTTTTAAATCAGTTTGTGTTCATGATGACAGGTGGCTTCTCAGTATTATAACAAGCAGCACCACATCATTTGCTAGCCTAGTAACTATATAATTATTTATTGTGTTTTTTGTTTTCCATTAATTTCTTAAATAGATTATATTTATTAGGTTCTTAATTACATTATGTTTAATGTTATTAAATAGGATATTTCCTAATTTCTTTTATTTTTAAAATAATTCATGGTTAAGAAGAAAACACGTGATGGTTTTGTTGTAGATACTCTATTATACAGTTAGCTACTGAATTTTGATAATTTATAATTATTTGAATTGGTTACATGAGAATCATGTTCAAATATACTATATACATGCAAAAGATTATGTACATAATCATTAAATGAAAGCTATTTGAAATGCATTGAGTGTATTAAGGGGCTAGTCTCAAATTGCTTATCTTTTAACTTTTTGATTATAACCTTACAGTTATCCTTGTCTCTTTTTTCTTGTTTTGTAGTCCTTTATGTGTCCTTCAGGAATCAATGACTTTCCTATGACAAATGCCACTCACATAAAGGTTTGCTAGTTGATACTTGAATTTAAATATTGTGATGAGTCAATTAAGTTTTATATCATTTTTCTTACTATTTTTTGATATGCTGACCATGCAGCTTTTCCAATTTTTTGGTTGATATACATAGTTTGTTGTGAGATGACTCAAACAGAGGATGCATATTAATGTAAAAGCCATAAAAAGGAAGAACACGAAATTTTAATGTGGTTCTGCAACATGCTTATTCCATAGAGCCACATGCGAAAATTTTACTATAATCACCTCTTTCAACTAGAGCTTTTCCTAAGAAAAAATCTAATTTTACAAGAATGCTCCTTATAGTAAAAAACTTTCCAAGGCCCAACAATATCATATGGAGATTATGATTTTTTCATATCTTGCTCGTGAATTGCCTTCGTTTGGGTTCCAAAAGGATTAAATGGATAAACAGTTAGCACGATGTCAAGTCATGATCCTTTTTTCCTTTCTCACGGGATGCATACAATCCTCCCCTAATTCTGAACAGTAAATTCTCTTATGAGCTACCTTGTACATATACTATTGACAAGGAAATGATCCATGATAGTACAGGCTTTTGATGAAGCAGTTTTTACCCTGACTTGAGTTGTATTCTGTAATTAGGGTAGAACCATAAACTGGTTGAAGTGGATAGTTATTCTTATGCAGGAAGGTCTCTCTATTTTGGCAAAATACAGAAGACCCTTACTTGTACATGCAGAGATTCAGGAAGACTCAGAAGTTCAAGATGTTCGAGACGATCCACATGCCTATTTAACCTATCTTAAGACAAGGCCACCTTCCTGGTGAGTTGTGTTTTCTTTTTCTTTTATTCTTTTGGGTAATTATATTACTTTGTGATAGAACAAATATTTTATTGTGATATCTTTTTTCAAGAAGTCCACAAACTATTCACTATTGTTTCGCTTACAATTTTCTTCTGGAGCCAAAAGGAAACATCAAGTTGATTGGTAGAAGAGTAACACCCATAATCATGGCTAATACCTATCTGGACCTGTGATTGATAGGCATCCAATATTCTTCTTGATGACAGCATTTACACAGTGCTTTTTTCCTGGTTTTGGATCTCATTATTACATTGAAGGTAATTAGTATTTGGCTTTCTATAAAGAGTAAAAATCTAAATCATACAAGATAACTTTAAAACTCCTTTCCTTCAATTTCTGGGAAGCTCTGGTTAACTTAATCTTCCTGTTCACAGTTTGGCAAGATCTGAACTTGCACCGTGGAAGTTCTGATGATGTTAGCTTAAAAACCACTTAGTAAATATTTATTACTATACTTTATTGTTGGTGCTATAAAATACTTAATAAAATTTACAAACAGAAGAATAACGGATGGATGTCATTTTTCTACTGAAGTAATTATCAAGAAGCAAATTCTTTGGGGCATATTTAGAACCTATTTTTTGGTTGACTAAAAATCTGCCAGTATCATTTTACCTGACTCTTTAATCACCTTAAAGGGAGGAGGCTGCTATTAGAGAACTTTTGACTGTAACAAGGGACACAAGGGCTGGTGGCTCCTCAGAAGGAGCTCATCTTCATGTTGTTCATTTATCTGATGCGAGTTCTTCCTTGGATCTTATAAAGGTACCCTGTAACTCTATCTACATATTTATACAGTACCCAGTGGATAACACACGGGAACAGCTTTAGACAGCACGTGCTTCTCATGTTAATAAATGATCATGAGATCACATTGAAGTTAACAGTATCCTGGACGTGCTTAATGTCTACACCTTTAATTTCCTGGTTTATTTGCTCATTCCTGATTTAATTGCTGCTCTCTCTGTTTTTTTTTTTGGTGTGTGATGCAGAGAAAAATTTTTGTGTGACACTACCATTTATATATATTTTTTTCATTTTGTCCAGGGAGCAAAAGGAAATGGTGACAGCATCACTGTTGAAACTTGCCCTCATTATTTGGCTTTCTCAGCAGAAGAGATTCAGGATGGAGATACTCGATTCAAGTGTGCTCCACCCATACGTGATGCATCCAATAAAGAGAAATTATGGGAGGCTTTAATGGTATTGACATTTCTAGGATTTGATTGTTTATACTTCAAAGGCCCTTCTTCTCCTACCATGGTTTCCTATTAATTTCAATTTGTTGCAGGAAGGACAAATTGATATGCTTAGTTCTGATCATTCACCAACAGTACCAGAACTTAAACTCCTTGATGATGGGAACTTCTTGAAGGCTTGGGGTGGCATATCATCTTTGCAGGTTGGTGGCTTACGAAATTCAGGAGTAAAGTCAGCTCCTTTAATTGCTTAATATCATACAGTTTCAGATATACAATATTTACAAGTGTTTTATGCTTGATCTAGAAGCTTAGGGCAATCTGGCATGTAAGTTAACACGCACTTTTCCTGATTTTTTTTTTGAAATAAAAGAGATCAATTTTATTCACAAAGGTATTAAGGGGGTACCACCCGTATACAAAATAGTTACAAATCTATCAAGTGGTCCAGGACAAGACTTAGTCTTTCAATTCTTTTACATCATGACCTAATAAGATAGATCCAAAAGTATGAAACCATCTATATTTAATGTTTACATATCAGTTTCAATGCCCTCAAACACTTTTCCTGATTATTGCTTTGTTTGAACAATCTCTTACATATTCATTGAATGCTACTAGAACACCACTATGTACATGCACTTATTCGAAGCCTACTTAACTAACATGTATTTTGGCTAAAGAAAAAGCCGATTATCAACTTTTAGGACTAAAAGAATATGCATATTACTGGGATACCATAGCATTATAAAGTTTAGTCTGCTTACTAGGAATTGTTTCATTGTCTCGGTGCCAATTTAGCTTCCCGTTCTATTTCTATTATTTGTTTCAGAGAGAAATTCATGTCATTTTTTGAGGAAATCCGCAGTTTGTTCTTCCTGTGACATGGTCGTCTGGGCAAAAATATGGGGTAACTTTGGAGAAGTTAGCCTTATGGTGGAGTGAGAGACCTGCTAAACTTGCTGGACTAGGTTCAAAGGTGACACATAAGTTTTATGGTTTTTGATTCTTCGATTCAGCTTAACATGATCTAAATTCATTTGTATCCTTTTGCTCATTCACAAATCTGAATAACATCGTGCAGGGAGCTATAGCAATCGGCAAACATGCAGATATTGTTGTGTGGGAACCTGACGAAGAGTTTGACCTTAATGATGATCATCCTATGCATTCTAAAAATCCTGTATGTATTCCATGCATATTTTTTTATAGCTTCATAATCATCTCAGGTGCCATTTCAGTCTGAAAAAATATGCATATGTCAACAGATCTCAGGAAGAGGGAACAAAAGCAAGTTACTTATACTTTGTTCACTCTGTAATTTCATGGAAAAATACTTAAGACTTTTTTCTGTTGGCAGAATTTTCTGCTGAACCATAAAGAAGGTGGTTCGTATATAGTTGGATCCTTAATTTACCTTTGTCTTTTACATGCTTTCACCAATAACATGTGTACAGAGCATCTCGGCCTACCTGGGAAGAAGACTGTCTGGAAAAGTGCTAGCAACTTTCGTAAGAGGAAACCTTGTCTACAAAGAGGGAAACCATGCTCCAGCTGCTTGTGGCGCTACAATCCTAGCTACATAAGTTGACAAATAGTAATTCTTTTAACTAATCTCCAAAACTTTCTTGATATTTCTTTTGAATTATAGAGTGAACTAATTCTAGGTTCCGGGATTTTTCTTTCTAGCTGTTTTTTGTCCAAGCAATATCACAGAAAACATGACTGAAATTCAAACTCCTGCGTTTGTTCCTGTTAATGATTCTGAACCATAATGCAAGTTCTTCACTTCTTCTGATGAAGCTAGTGGATAAAGACTGTAGAGCTTTCAAAAGCATGTTAATTAGTAAGTTGCTACCACGACATCATCCTGGTGTACTTGTACATAGAATCTGTGTTGAGTAACTTTTTAGCCTTTATCTGATCATCCCACGGACAGGTTACAGAAGTACAAAAACTTTGTTATTACGGCAACATGCTAAGACCCAAGTATTTATTTACCAAAAGTGTGCCTAGTGCATTTAAATAAATTTTAATGTTCTAAACCACATTTTTGTTTCATTTTGTAAATATTTATTCCTTTTATTATGCATACTTGTCGAGTTGCAACTACAAAACCTATGTTAAGCAGTTATTAATGTAACGCCCAATAATTTTTAAATTTATTATTATTATTATTATTATTAATTTTATTTTTATTTATTTTATTTTAATTTAATTTAATAAAAATAACAATAATTGTAAAATTGGGTAAAAATATTATTTGGATTTAATTGAAATTGATTTTGAGAAAAATGGGTGAAAATTTGGATTCTGTGAGTATTCTTGAAAAGAAAATCGGAAACCGGGGGTCAAAATGTAATTTAAAAAAAATTGTGCCCTGTCAGCGCCACGTCAGCGGCCCAGTCAGCAGTCCTGGCCAACCAGGACCTGCCGCGTGGCAAGACCACGTCGACCCGGGAACGGGCCACGTGGGCGATCTGCGTGCGCGTGATCGGACGGTCCAGATGCGTCCTCGCGCGCATGGACGGCCCAGATACAAGCGCACGCACGGCCCAGATGCACGTGCACGGACGGTACAGATTTAATCAAAATGGACGGCTGTGATCAAATGGCAAAAGGGTATAAATAGAACCCCCACACCTGACCACAAAAACCCTAGCCGCCTGCCTTCGCCGGAGAAGACGAACCAGACGCCGGAGGAGCCGGCCGCCGCCACCCACCGCCGCACCAGGGAGTTTTTCGACCGCCGATCGAGGTAAATTTCATAACCTCGGCTCGTTTTTCAATGCTGAGTTTTCCTGTGGCCAAATCGGAGCCAAAATCCCGGCCAAACGGCCGGAAAACACGGTCGAAACCCAGCGGCGCCGCCGCGCCCCTCCTCGGTTTTTGCCTCTGATGAGGCCCTTCCCGACCTCCGTTTGATACAATTTTTATATCACCGTGATCACCATTCTTTTCTCTACAGGTTGATCGGAGCCAAATCACCAAAACACAAACCTCGCTGGAGAGCCGCCGCACCCGAGAGCACCGCCGCCGGTAAGCTTCAGTTTTTCGTAATTTTTTGGCCCCCCGAGGGCCCTATGGTTGTTTTATCACAAGGACCGATGCAAGTGTGGCCGAATTCGGCCGGAAATGGCCAACCCGAGGCGAATCGCCGCCGCTTGTGGCGGCGTCGTCGCCGGAGCACGGGGGAGCCACCGTACCGGAATTGCGATATTGGCCGAAAGGGGCTCTGGGTCTAATTTGGGATTTTTTGGGACACGTGCAGGTACCAAGAGTACGTTTCAGTTCCCCGTAAAAAATTTAGGGAAATTAGGGACAGCCTGCAGGCGCACTGTAGAGTCGTATTCGGACCCCGAAACAAGTAAGGACCCCTCACCCTATTTCCTATCACGGTATTAAAGTTCAATAAATGATAAAACGGTATTTCATGAATCAACAGATGTGTGAAATTGTTTAAGGTCGCTAATAGAGCCCGAGTCTGGTATGTTTGTCGGTTAGCTGTTGTTTGGCCTATTTTACAGTTTTACATGCAGTATGAGGTCTGATATTTTCATTTCATAGTTTCGTGTGCATATTTTACTGTTTTATTGATTATGGGTTGAATGACTGAGAACCCGATGTTGTATGTTGTCTTGTTTGGCATAAATTACTAGTTTGCTTGTTTGTGTGCGAATTGATGATGCTGACTGGGGAAAAGGGGAATGAAAGGTTATGTAAATTGATAATTGTATAATGTGGTCAGCCTGACTAGATATCCTGGGAGATGGTGGACGGACCGGGTCCGTAGGGAACCCTACCGGGATTGTGATCTCTCATACCGGACGGGGTATGGAGACCTTATGTGTTTTGGCGCTCATACCGAACGGGGTATGGGGACAACCCGTTTCACCCTCATACCGGGCGGGGTATTGAGGTTTATAGTTTTGGCGCCCATACCGGACGGGGTATGGGGACGGCTCTGGAATCTGATTACAAGTGTTAAGGGTTCACGGGTAGTGGGACCCCTATGGATCCCCATGGATACTAGTAGGCTGGTAAATGAGGTAAAATATATTGTGTAATGATTGAATTGCAAAGGTGTGATAAGTATTATGTTATACAGCTCATATGATTTCATGATAATGATAATGTTACTGCTTTCGTATATTGTTTTATGAATTTCACTGAGATAAGTGGATAGTAAATGATTTTATTATTGATAAAAGAATTTGTTGTAAATTATGCTCCATTGGCCTTTTTGTGTTTTCTACCCACCTTTACCTCCGTGACGGTGAGATAGTGTGATGTCTTTACTGGGCTGGTGTAGTTCATTCCTTATTTAATCATTTCAGATCAGGAAGACATTGTTCCCGAGCCCGTTCCGCAGGAAGACGGCGAATGGGACGCCTGAAGACTCCGTAGTTATATTTATAGCTTTTATTTTCGAGTTTCTCTTTTAGTTAGTTTGTTCTTTTATACTTTGAGCACGTTTTTTGTTTTAGTGTAAGAGATGTTAATCAAATTTTTATTCCGCTTCCGCATTTGACCATTTTAATACACATATTTCATTTCAAAATTTCGGGGCCGTTACAATTGAATTGTCATACAATCTTTTATATCTATTGTTTTTGGTAGGCGTTTCAAGTACAAAATCCGGAAATTTCACTTTTAAATTTGAATTGTCAGTCATAGAGATTTGTAATCATTTATTGATATAAAGAAAATGACTGTGATAAGGGAACAAAACTAATTAGTTTTTTATAAAATGAAATTAATGAGGATCTTTTAAATGGTAAAAAATACTTGCATGGTTTTATATTACTTTCTTCTAAATTTTGTTTAATAAAGATTTTTTATGCGGGAACAGATAGTAACTTTGTTTTTAATTTGTTTGAAAGGTGATCGTACACATTCATCATAGCTTAAAAGATAATTTCAATGATCAATACATCATTGATTTTTAGATTGGAATGAAACTAAAAGTTAAAAGCTTATAATAATCCCATGATATCTTTCTATACACAATACAAGCTAGTGGTATAACTATTAATTTACCTTCATGATTCAGTATTTTGTTTCAGCTTCATTGACCATTGTTGTTGAAGCACCTCAAAGTACAAGAGCATATGAAGTATGTCCGGTAAGCAATAAAACGAACATGGAATGAGAACAATTTTATTGTATGATAAAATGATTTTGCTATGATGTATCTAAATGGAATTTTAAACAAATTTCAAATTCTATATTTGAAGTAAAATGTATAGATATTGTAATAATTTACAAAAAAATTGATAAATAAAATTACCGCGTCAATTTTTTTTCTTTTTTTTTTAATAAAAAATACTTAACAAATATGTTATGATTTATGTATTTTCTATCTTTTTACTTAACAAATAATTATTATTGTTATTATTATTATTATTTTATTTCTTTGCATATAATTATTGTCTATAGATTTATATTCTTCTTTAAGTTTTAGGTTGCCGATGTAAATTTTATTTATATTTTTTATTCACATAATATGAAGAAAAGAAGGGATTCACTAGATAGTTTTTGAATATAATAGCTTTGGGATATAATCCTATTAGTTTATGCTAAAATGATGAAGCAATATACATGTTCATATGTGAATTTTGTATTAATTTTTTTAGCATGAGTCATTATTTTAGCCGCTAAATTATTAATTATTTTATAATTAGATTTTAAATATTTTTTACGTTATAATTTTAATTTTTAAATTTAAACAATTATTTAATTTTGTGATTTTTTATATAATTGTAAAAATTCTAATAGAAAATAACAGAAGTGGTGTATGTAAGCTCAATAATAAAGAATTTTTTTTTTATTATTTTAGGTAAAAAATTATTAAAAAAATTATGTATTACAATAATTCTATGTTGAGAAAGCAAATTATGATGGTGAAGTACAACAAAATATATAGTTTAAAGATTAAATAATTTTGATTATGGTTTTTTTGTTATATTATGTTTTAAAAAATTGTATATTAATATAATAATAATAATTATTTTATTTAAATTGATATTATGAAACGTATATTATTATTATTATTATTATTATTACAATAAGCAATTATCTCTTCAACACAAAATAGAAAGGTGGCGTTCTTCTGCCACGTCAGCAGAAAATCAGCAGTATAGTGATGATAACAGGAACTGAAACCTATAAACTGAAATTCAAATTTGAGAACGGAAAGTTTCTCCATCCAGAAATGGAACTCTCCAATCATCTCCTCTCCCTCCAAATCTCTCTCTTTCATCACCCGCTCTTCGCCGTAACCCCGCCGCAAAAGCTCAGACCCAGACTTACCATCTCACTCGCCAACTCTTCCCACTCCTCCTCATCCCAACTCGCGCAAACCCTCCAAGCCGAAACCCTTAAAACCCTAGAATGGAGCTGCCTCTGCAAGCAGCTCTCTCCCTTCACATCCACCTCCATGGGCCTTTCCGCCACTGAAACTGCCAAAATCCCCATAGGAGAAACACGGGAAGAGAGTCAGAAGCTTCTTGATCAGACGACCGCAGCTCTGGCAGCCTTGGAGGTTATGGAATCAGAGCCGTTGGATCTTTCGCAAGTTGAAGACGTGTCCAGGATTGTCGACTCCGCGGCTTCCCGTGAGTTACTAACCATCAGAGAGCTATGCGCCGTACAGAAAACTCTGAGGGCAGCCAGAGGAGCGTGGGAGAAGCTGGAGGAGGTGTCGAGATTGGGTGGTGATGGTGCAGAAAGGTATCTGTTTGTATATAACTGGTCTAATTAATTGTTCGAGGTCTGTCTTCTAGGCCTTCTTTTTTCCGGTATCTGTTTGAAAAAATGTATCTTGACCTAGATAGATTTAGTCTTACATTGGCTCCCTTCAGCTCCCCTGTAGGGAGTTGTGAGCTATGGAGGTGCCATGGTGTCCTTCTAGCCAATGCTCCTTGTTATCTCGGGCAACTACCCAATTATCCCATAATCTGTGAGGTTTTGACGAGTAAAATACACCACTCTTGTTCTTTACTAAGAGTTACAGCTAAAGTTAGACTTTACTTGTACATATACATATTGAGTATTGAATATCAGGTCACCAAATGGATTTACTCTTAAATTTCGAAAAAGTAAAGTTGAATTTTTAAAGTAAAATAAAGTTGAATATGTATTTATTTCTTAAAGTAATTATGAAGTAGAATATGGATTTGAACTCCAAATGCCATGTTAAATAATTTTTTTTGAAATAATTAATTATTATCCTTGCCAATATGGCAAAAGCTTAGGCTAATACGAAATGATTTTGTACGTATTTTATACACGAAGAAACCTTGATTGTTGATTAATTATGTTAAGTATGTAAATGGATATTTTAAACCCCATTATTTTTTTTAAGGAGGATAAAGGAAAATAAGAAATTGAATATGAGAGAAACATTTTTTCAAATTAAAAATATAATATAAGTTATTACGAAAATGAGGAATTATATAATTTTAACAATGATAAGTTATGAAACCCTCATTACCTCCTACTTGGAAGTAGGATAATGGAGGGTTAGAGGCTGCTCTCATTTATTCTTTTTAATAACTGTCAGAAAGGGATTGATGTTAGCCTTTACCTTACAGAGTCAACAGTGAAGAGAAGTGAAAGAGAAATAGAATCATCATTAAAATTGAGTCACTACACTTGTTATATACAGGCCAATATTCGAGT